ACAACACACTGTTCACCAATTATTAAGTTATTTATGTTTTTTAAAAAATCAATAACATATATTACAAAAAAACCACCTCTGGCTAAAAGAGGTGATTGGCAATCTGGAGGGAAGCTAACTAAGTCCAGCCAATTCCAGAAAGACACGGCCCTGCAGAGGTGGAGATTGTGGAGTTCTGTCCAACCCCAAAACCAGAAGATGAACCCGGGATGCCAGAAAGTGACTATGATGATGACTTGTTGGTAAGTGGGCCCATCGCACTGATGACCATGCCATAGAACTGTTAATTCTGGGCAGAAAAGGAAAAGTGACCCCCGACCACCCTTTTAGACTCTGGATGCACCAGGTGCCTAGTCAGCCCAGCCCTGGTTGGGAAATTAGGGATCTGGCTAAGGAGGTTAAAAAATCCCATCTCCTTCTGCCATCAGGGTCCATCACAGGGGGCATCCCAGCTACAGAACCCCTGGGATTAAACATTGGGAGCCACTCAGAGACTTTAATTTTCATCACGGCACCTAGAATGGAGTGGGCTCTTGCCCTGGGGTTGGTGTGGCTGAAAAAATGGAACCCGCTAATAGACTGGGAAAAGGGACATTTGAAATTCTTCAAAGAAAAGAACCCCTCATCGAGCGAATGAATCTGCTTGGGAAGGGAACAGATCAAGGAAATAGTGGACACTTTAATCAGTGAGGACATGCAAACCATACCCAGGGAGTACCGGGATCTGGCTGAGGTTTTCAGTAAAAGGGGTTTGGATGAACTGTCTCCCCACCGGCCCATGGACTGTGCTATCGAAATCATTCCTGGGGTGAGGTTATCAAAACCAAAGCTGTATTTGATGTCCTGTAGGAAGTTGAGCGAACTATGTAAGTTCATTGACAAAAAACTGGCCTATGGGTTCATACAACCAGCCAGCAATTTATGTGGGAAACCTTTAGATCTTGCCTTGCTCTCTTCCTATCACTATCTCTCAATAAAAGTTCCTTTTGAAACAATGCCTGTTTCAAGAGTTTTGCTTTCTTGGGAGTAGTAGTTGAGGCAGGACCTTACAAAATAGTTTTATGATTAACATGGAGAATTCAAGAATAAAGAAATGGAGAAACAAAAATGAATCTTGAAGAACTCTAATAACAGTAACAGAAAAAAGAATAAGACCATTCCAATCAGAAAAAGAATACAATCTAAAAGAAAAGTTTGAAAAAAACAATTGTGCCAGTAGGAAAAAGAATTTGATAGTGTTCAAGAGAAAATTTTTATAAAGGAATATAAGAAGGAAGATACAAAACATCAAGAGAAGTTGAAAACAAACAGACGAAAGAAATATATTCTATGAATTAAAACAGATTGCTTTTTAGTAATGAGCATTTCATCATCTAAATGAGAAAAGATGCATATCAAAAAAATAAGTGAAAATGATTTTTTAAAAAAAATGAAAAAAGAAAGAGGGACATATAAAGGAAAGCATGAAAAGATAAGAAGACACAAATATATAGAACTAGCAATATTGCCCTAGGTGCTACTTTTTCATATAGTTCATGAAATTCAGAAATAAAATAATTTATGATTAAGTAACTATGTACTTCAATCCTGAGCACTGCTATACTAGGTAATACAGCATACAACAGTGATGGCAAACCTTTTAGAGACCGAATGCCCAAAATGCAACACAAAACTCACTTATGCATTGTTGGGTGCCAGGTGGATGTGGCCCATTGGCTGGGTGTGGCCCATTGGGTGGGTATGGCCAATTGGGTGGGTGTGGCCCATTGGGTGGGCATGGCTGCAGTGGTAATGGCAGACTGGGTGGGACTAAAAAGTTCAATCAATTCCAACTTTGCAAGATCTTTTTGTTTCCCGCGAGAAGTTGAAATTGACTTGCACACGGCGGAGGAGGCCTAAAGTGAAAAGGTTTTATAAAACCCAGCTGAAGGCCTAGGACTGGGGCGATGGTGTGAGTGCCCACAGAGAGGGCTCTGAGTGCCGCCTCTGGCACCCGTGCTATAGGTTTGCCACCACTGGCAATGTTTTTTTCAAAGTATAAATTGAAAAGATAAAGCTTAGATATATGTTTTCATGAACAAATCAGTCACAATAGTATGTGTTTGGGTTTGTGATGTTCTTAACAATAAGAAAAAGAATGATATGCCCTCCTGAGAGCCTTGGCAAAGCTTTTGATCTTCTACAAACTTCCTGTTTATAGAAGATATAATAAAGGACTTCATCATGGCCTTTGTTATATATTACATCTTTCAGAGCTGGCCAAAGTATTTTGCTGCCAGAAATGCCATATATTCCCTTGTATTTGTTCTTCCTGGAGCAGGTACATTTATCAATGGGTGGGATGAAGTAAACAAACTCTACTATGGTTTCAGGTCTAACTACTAAGGAAAAGGATGGTTCAACTGCTATTTCCAGTTTAAAAAGATCACATAAGAAATGATGTCAAAATATACTTTCCGAGTTTATCAAAGGCTACTCCTTTTTCAAGTAGATAGATCTTGGAGATTGTTTGACCTGGTGTAAAGAAACATCTTATTTTCTAATCTAGTCTAAAAGATTAATGCTACATCTGTTTCACGGCAGAGAGATGATATATAATTGCTTCCATTCTGTTTTCGGTCCAAACCTTTGTATGTTTTTTTCCAGAACTGAACTCCAAGGAAAACAATTCTGGAGCTAAAAAATACAAACTGGCCATGAACCTTTTTTCTATGTCTCTGGTTTGTGATTTAAAAAATCCATTATTAATATCAAACCTGCAATGAATCTGCCTGAAGCCATCTTGTTCATTTTCGGTTGCCACAAGATTGGGGGGGAGGAGATATGGGAAGTTCTATGCTAGCCTAAACAATTCTCTGTCGCGTGGGAACCAAGGTCATTTCTGTTCCCTCAGCTGGGGCGCTGAGCCTAATGTCAGAAAGCCTGCCAAACTATTCTATTGGGAAACGCTGATTGCATAGATTTAGGGTGGGAATTTTAACTTTGTAATAGTTAATTTTGGAGGGAACTTTAGTCTTTGTTACATTTTTGATCGTGCTGATACTTTGTAGCCAGTAAACATGTTCTTAGAGGAAAACTCAAGCCTTGGAGTTCTGCTTTAATTGGTCTCATCTATCGGAACCATGACAATTAATTTATGAATAAAGAAGTTAAAATTACTATGGCACTTTTTAAAAAACACCTGAAGTATGACACCTGGGAGTAAGGGAATAACCAATTCATTGTTATGCACATTAGGCACTGAAACTCTCATTGCTTGTCTTTACCATAGTCACTATGAATTTGAATCATGGCTAATTATGTTTACAGATAATCCCCAATTTATGACTAAAATTGAGACTGGGATTTCAGTTGTAAGTTGTAACAGTCATAAGTCAAGGCATTCACACTGCATCTAATTTTACAGCCATTTTGGGATAGTCATTACAAATTGTGTTTTCTCCCCAAAATGGCAAAAAATGCAAAAAATTGGCAAAAAATGTTGCCTATTGCAGTCATATAACTATGGATGCTGCTATCAGTCATGAATGTGAGTTGGTTGCCAAGCACCTGAAATGTGGTCATGTGACTTTAAAGCAGGTGTGACACAAGATTTTATGTTGTCTGGAAATTCTTCATAAGCTATATAGACCCTCTCTGAGGCCACCGTAAATAAACTGTTCTAAGTTGAGGACTATCTGCAATTTATTTGGAAGACAATATTAGATCATTTTGTTTTCTTAATAATTAGCAGTCTTTCTTTTTCTTATTTTGATTTTTCTTGAAGTAGTATATCTAGTAGATCCTTATACTATAACCTTATAACAAAATAGAAGTTAAAAGGTGGACACATATTGTTTTTTCCAATTGTAGATGTATATAGTTTGGGGCTATACCAACACTTTTTGAATCATTAAATAGTCAAAGAATACATACAGAATATTGATGTGCAAATATATGGACATAAATGTATCCCTAAGATGTACACTAAATCCCTAAGATGTACACTAAATCAAATATTTTAGAAGCAACCAGAAGTTATTGCAAAAAATCTCAGTTTTTGCAATAAAAAGACTGCATGAAAAAACTTCTTCCTAGCATCATTCCCGTGCTATGGCAGGCTCAAATAACTTCTAGATAAAGTTATAAAATAATTAAATAATTAAATTTTAAAGGAAAGTAAGGTGAAGAGAGTTTTGAGTAGTCTTAGTATTATATCATTAGTATGAAAAGTCACCATGATAACAGAGCAAAATTGTCAATAATGAAACGATTAACAGCTAGCACACAAGATAATGTTTTAGGTAATTATTTGTCATTTCAGCAAAGTAACAATGTGAACATAGAATCAGCATTATATAGTTCAGATTAGATGTTAACTCTACAAATATCTGTTTCAGTCCCTAACTGTCAAGAAAACAGAGATACTTTCTGGATCAAAACTGTGCAGTAAATGGAAGCAACCAGTAGTGGGATTCAGCCAGTTCGCACCACTTCGCAGAACTGGTAGCTAATTTTTTGTTGCCCAGGCCCAGAATGGATTTCCAGAAGCGGCATCCACACAGAGAACCAATTGTTCACATATCTGAATCTCACCACTGGAAGCAACTCTAAAATATTCTCATTAGTAATAAGCACCCACCTATTCTTCATTTCACAAGTAAAATAAAAGTGTGTGAATTCCAAAGTGCTAATATCCAGTTTGACTCTAATTTCAATAATGGATTTCATTGGAAATGGAAATGTCACCTATATACTTAATAGAATTTAACACATACCCATATTTAGGCAAAATTCTTATGTATTTGTCAGTTCTTTTGTCAGTTTCTTTTATCCCTTTCACAAAACTAAAAAAATAAAATGTTTATCAGGGGGCAGTAATTAAAAGTTTTACTGCTTAGTACTCAGAAAACTCTGAAAAATAAAAGCAATAACAAACTGGGAAAAACTGTATTTTTATAAGCAGTCCTACATCTTAAAAGATGTTGAATGTTTCTGCTAACATTTCATTCCCACTGTACCTGAATCTGGATGCCAAGGGTCTGTCGTAGAAGACATTGGTTGGATAGTTTGTGGATTTGCTCCGCAGTTGGATTCTACAAGTTCTCCTTCTGTGTAAATGTCAGAGGAAATATTGGTCTGTCTCAAGGCTGCCTTGAGTGGAGTAATCTGGTTGAACTTTACACGTGACAGGCAACCAGAAAATCCTGGTGTGTTATATTTATCTATGTCTTGATCAATCTTTCCAAGTTCTAAAAGGAAAAAACAAACAACAGAAATGAGTTTGTAACAATTTGTCTAGCACAGAAGCTTCATTGATACTAGGATCTTGTAAAGATATTGTTTGTGAATGCAATCAAAATACTTTCTATCTCTTGGAATTTACTTTACTATAAGCCCAAGAATGAATCATTCTACATAGGGGTGTCAAACTGCTGGCCCGCAGGCTGGATGCCCCAAAACCGCACCTACCCTATTGCCGGCAATGGGAAAAAAGTCACGATACGTAACAACCTTGCTTTTTTCTTTTTATCTATCCTTTTATTTTTTTATTTTTGAAAATAGTATAGATGCCTTAAAATGCAGAAAGATATATCTTCTATCAAACAAAATCAATGCAAAATATAAAAATAATTATTAAAAACATGAAAACAAATAAAATGAACTTTTTAAAAAACCAAAAGTTTGTTTCATTTTTATTTTTAAAATGTTTGGAATGCAGATATTTACAAAGGATAATTTCACTCTTAAAGCAAATCAGTTGATGTGACTGCCTTTGCTACAATGATTGATCATGCATAGGAGATTTAAAATATGCAACAAACTATATTGTCCAGCTTGTTTAGGACCCTGAGGCATCATTATGCAGCAACAATTCAAACTTTCATGATTGGCAAAAGCAGAGAGACTATATGGATGACAATTAGAAAACTGTCTAGAACACAGACTACTGAAGTTGATGTCTTTTTCTCATTTCTATCCAGTCAATAATATGCTAATGGTATTTTCTCATTTAAAACAGCAAGCATGCAAAGAGAAAAACAATCCATCAGAATAAATTCATTCTTAATTAAATAAAAACCATACTACAAAGGCTGTTCTTCATAGTTGAATTAAAATACTACACATCAATTCCTGGAATCTACAGCAGGAATCTACAGCACAACATTCACTATAGTGATGTCTATTCTGTTTATACCCTATCCTGTTTACCTTAACACTGGCAAGATTCTGCCAAATTGAACCAGACTGATAGAGTGTGATGTTAAGGGTTACAATCTATCATTAATATGTTAAGAAAGTACTCCTGAAGAGAGGATGGTCCTGATTTTCATAGCCTTGAAGAAGTTGGTAAACATTTTGGTCACTTGTGCAAAAGTGGAGTCACTTGTGCAAATATTTGTTCTTTCTTTATTATGTCAAATCAAATAAATCCTTTGCTATGGTTTTTGTGCCAGAAAGCACAATAATAAAATACATAGGTTGTAATTATTTAAAAAGTGTTAAAACAAACAATAAAATTATATAAAATATATTATTATAGTACAAATAACAGTGGCAGCAAACAAAATTTGTGCTAAACCTCAAACATACGATGTATATAACAAATAATGAGCAGCCTGGAAAGATATCTCAAGATTCTGGTCAGATAGAAGTAGTGACAGATAGCAATAACAATAGCACTTAAATTAATATACTGCTTCACAGAGCTTTACAGCCATCTCTAAGTAGTTTAGAAAGTGAGCATATTGCAGATCCTGGGTCCTCATTTTACTGATCTTGGAAGGATGAAAGGCTGAGTCAATCTTGAGTTGCTCAGAATCGAACTCCTGGAGTGAGCAATGAGTTAGTCTGCAATACTGCATTCTAACCACTGTGGCCCCATGGCTCAAATAGGCATGGTGCTCCCTACCAGATAGTTCATTATTGTATCATTATTACATTTCCAGCTCTGCATTTTGCCTAAAGAATATTTCAAGATGAAGAGAAGAACGTGTCATTTTGTGATTGATACTTCAAGTTTGTACACACAGTGAGTGATGTTTCCTGGTGCTTCTAATTGCAGTTTCTCAGGGAAGGATATCAAAATCCAAAACAGCACTAGTATTACGTCTCCCGGCTTCTTTTGTCCCTTCCTTACAGGAGCAGAAAAATTAAACTTTAAAGCAACTAACTTTTCATGCTCAGAAAATACAGCCCTTCTTTTGCCACCACTTGTTCTCTATTATCTCTATTATCAACCAGCACATCCTCTCACCCAGTGTTGGATTCAGACAGTTTGCACTGGTTCGGTATTATTTTGTAAGTTTGGTGAACCAGTTATGATAAATCTGTGTTTTCCACATCACGTCTGGTTTTCATTCAACTTTCTTTCAGGTGGGAAAAAAAAACCCTTCTCAAAAGTCCAAGAGAGGAGTGATGAAAATCCAATGGAGGCATAATGCCTTCAATCATGTCACTCAGGTGAAAACTAGGTGGTCCCTGTCAGAGGTAATTTCAGGAATAGAATAGAATAGAATAGAATAGAATAGAATAGAATAGAATAGAATAGAATAGAATAGAATAGAATAGAGGTGGAAGGGACTTTGGAGATCTTCTAATCCAGCCCCCTGCTCAAGCAGGAGAACCTGTACCATCTCAGACAAGAGACTGTCTAGCCCAGTGGTTCTCAACCTTCCTAATGCCGTGACCCTTTAATACAGTTCCTCACGTTGAAGTGACCCCCAACCATAAAATTATTTTCGTTGTTACTTCATAACTGTAATTTTGCTACTGTTATGAATCGTAATGTAAATATCTAATATGCAGGATGTATTTTCATTGTTGCAAATTGAACATAATTAAAGCATAGTGATTAATCACAAAAACAATATGTAATTATATATTGTGAAATATTTATTTCTAATTACAAATAAATGAAATTTTGTCTTGAAGCATGGGTGCCAAATCACACCTTCAGCTGCTCCACCTATGGCTCTGAAAGGAGACCTGACCTTTTCTCTTCTCCCCTTGCCCTACAACACACAAACATACACAAACACATTTTCGGGGCTCCAGTGCCAAACCTGCCAAACCTGAGCAGAGGCCCTCAAGGAAACTTTCCCTTGCCTACCTGGCTCACCACCCGGGAGAAGGCGGCTGTTGGATCCGGGGCGAAAAGGCTTGGTGGCAGCAGAAGGAGCCCTGCCACCAGTCTGAGCAACTCGCCAGTTGGATGCTTGGCAACTGGTATGCATTTATGATGGTTGCAGCATCTCAGGGTCATGTGATTGCCATTTACGACCTTCCCAGCCAATTTCCAACAAGCAGAATCAATGGGGAAAGCCAGATTTGCTTAATGACATGATTCACTTAACAACTGCAGTGATTTACTTAATAACCATGGCAAAAAATTGAGTGCAACTCACTTTTTTTAAAATAATTTTTTATTTTTTCAAGCTCTCCCCCATACATATACCATAATATTTATCAGATGTTAACATACATTCTTTTTACATTCATATATAAGATACTTTTAATAAAATGAAATAAATACATACACATGACTTTTGGTGTTGCTCGCCCATTTCCCCTTTCACCGTATCGACACTCCTTCTTCTCTACCTTCTTTCTCTCTTTCTTCTTTTTCTTCCCTACTTCCCTCTTCTTCCTCTCCTCTTTCCTTCACCACTCTCCTCCCCTTTCTCCCCATTTCTCCTCTTCTCCTCCAACCTTCCTATTTTCTTCCCCCCTCCTTTACTCTTTTCTCTCTCCTCTCCTTTCTCCCCTCTCATCCCTCTTCAGATACAATTCAGGGGTAATGTCCGAGCAACTCCTCCAAATTTCCCTATCTATATTATATACAATAAGATTAATACTTCTATTTATCTAACTTTCTCGGTATATACTTCTATAAACATTTATACAACCTCCAGTTATTCAATACTGTGTCGCCTGGGTCCCCCTCCTTATCTGCTCCTTCTTCTTCCATCTAAATTGATGTTAACTATCTTTTAACCGTATTCTCTTTCCAGCCAATCATAAAAAGTTCCCCAGATTTCATAGTAGTCTGACTCTGTCTTATCTTTAATTGTCATTGTTAGTCTATTCATTTCTGCACATTCCAGTATTTTCCCAATCACCTCTCCCTCGGGGGGGGGGGGCTTTCAGTGCTTTCCAATTTTGTGCAAACACAATCCTGGCTGCCGTAATTACATCAATAATTAAATATGTTTTTTCTTTATTGTATTTCTCTGGTAGAATATCCAACAGGAATATTTCTGGTCTTAGTTCTATACGTTGTTGTATCATCTTTTCTATCCATGTTCTAATTATATTCCAATAAGCTTTAGCTTCTACACACGTCCACCACATATGGTAGAAGGAACCTGGTATCTGATGACATTTCCAACATTTCATAGACCTGTCCTTAAACATTTTAGCTAATCTTTCAGGAGACATGAGTGCAACTCACTTAACAACGACCTTAGCAATGGAAATTCTGGTCCCAGTTGTCATAAGTTGAGGACTACATATACACGTATGCATACAGTCAGTCTGCCTCTCTGGCTATTTTTATTAAAGCAAATTTATTTCACTAACAGGAAACATTACATTCTATTCCTAGTGATTATGTGGAGAAATGCTTGCCATTCCAAGCATTAAAACATTTAAAGATGCTCTGCTTCCTTTCGAATAGGCTCCATGGGCTCTTAAAATGGCCAGTCTTCAGTCTCCCTTTCATTATAACAGGAAATACTGTTTTTTGCTGAAGGCCCCTAACCTCAGGTGTAATGTATTACAGCCGAATGATAGGTAAGAGAGAAACAAAGGAACAGTGGGATCAGAGACAAAAACAAATCTTTTTTGGATTGTGGACTAGGATTTAGAAATTAGGATGAAAGTTTCCTATTTCCCATCCTCATGTTAGCAAAATTAGGGCATATATATATCTTCCAAGAGTATTTCAGGTTGCAGTGAGGAAGTGTAGGAGTGAATTTAATTTCTCTTGTGCATCAGTTCACCTTTAATAGATGTTCCTGTGGTGGTTTAGCTGTTGGTATCCGTCCTTAGTCCTAGAGAAATTAAGAAAATTAAGGAATTCTCTTAATCCTGGAATTCCCATTAAATTCTTCATGAATGAAGAATGAATGAAAGCAAGCAAGTTCACACCCCTGAATACCCCCTCTATCGCGTGTCCAGGAATCTACATGGGTTCCATTTTTTAAGCCATGCCAGTCCTAAGATGCGAGGCCATTCCATGCCACGTGCC